AACGTTAGTCAAGAATAGGATCACACATCTGCCAGATTATGCTTTTCGAAACAATACGAAGCTTATCCATTTGTAAGTAATATTGTAAATTTAATAGTTATAATATTTGTGAAAAACATACTTATAAGTTACATTTGTAAGTGACATTGCATGTAGGTTATTATATTTTTAACATTTGTAATAAATTGTTTTGGAAGTTCATACAATTCTTCTTCTTATTATTTTTTTAAAATATCTAGAAACCATAAGTTGTTAACCTTTTGGCTCGGTATTATGGATATCGCAACCCTTCGGCCTTGATTCCATGATAAATACCGTAAATCTGGGAGAAATGTGGCTTTTCTGCCTTCCCTCGGGCGTGAACCCGAACCACAAGGAGTTCGTCACCCGGTTGTTGCAAAGTCAGGTTTAGAAAACTACGCTAGCGAGCCGGGCACAATTATTATATAAGGAACAGCCGTGATATAAAGGCTAGCAGCTTTCCTGTGGATACAAAGGTCGTGGGTTTCAAAGATGAAATTGTCTCCCATGTCGATGCATCCTTCAGTGGTTGAGTCAGGGGAAGTAAAGGCGGTCGGTGTGATGTTGACCAAATCACCAGCTGAGTGCTGATTGTTTTATAAAATATAAGTCTTGCCCAGTAGGCCTAAAGGCGTGGGAAAAGGTTCCTGTACTATTACAATTGTTATATATAAACACATGTAAGTATCCTTTCTAAGCTTATACACTTGCAGATTACATTTGTAAACATTTACAGTTATAATAATTTGTTTGGGGGGGGGGGGGGGGGGTTAGTGATGTTATCTGTAACCTGAGCGCCGCCTCCCCTATTCCCTCTAAAAACCCTGTATATAAGTTTTTATTTTTGTTCAAGTTCTGTTTGTACATTTTATGTTATTAAAAGTGCATAAACAATTATAAGACCTCTTATGGTTCCTGTCCACGGCATAGGAAAGAGGACAGACTGTCCCCTTCTGTGTTTTCTGTGTCGAAGCCATTGAAATTTTGAAAGGGAATGCGCATGCTTGCACGTAGATAATTTTCCTTCATTGATAGTAATGTTTTAATCAAAATTCCAACGAACCAGTGCACATATACCAACTGTCGCCTGTATTAGGATATCCGAACATAAGCATGAGTGCCAAGTAACAGATTATAAACAGCATATTCATACCCACACTGTGCGATCAGTGTCAACCTTGGACATTATCAAAGGCTAATGGAGTGGTTTGGACACCTAACAAGAATGCCGTAATACTATCTACCACAGCGAGCCACACTGAAACGTTACAACGGGTATAGAGTGGGTGGAAGGCCTCGGAAAATATGGAGTAATGGCATTAAGAACAGCCTTGAAGGAATGAACATCAGTCTTAATAGTGCTCTTGACAAAGCTCATCAACGAATCTTACACCCCCCACCCCCTTCCCCCGACACTTTCCGGGGTACAAGGTGGAAGAGAAAAAGAAGAAGAAGAAGAACCAACGTTGGTAGCTGTGAGATGAGATGCCCGAGGAAAGCCGCCAGCTTAACTATCCGAGACAACGTTAGAAATTATATTATCAGACAGACCGTGGGAACAACACCTTGCAGCAAATTCATTAGAAACAGAAGATCAGATGGTTTGTTCATCTAATTAAATTGCTACCAGAGCAGGTCCCAACACAGGCGCTCCACGTGAAAAGATCTGACGTGAAAGCAAGAGGTCGCAATTTGAAACTGAATCCATTTGTATTTGTAACAGTCTGGATTTTCAGCTTAAACATGCAGGAAAACAGAGCAACGTTGCCAGCTTGATTTGGAGAGTGGACTCAGTTGTGCCTTGTCCAACATCAGACTACAAATAACAGGTATCTTCGAGACAAAACTGTGTCAACCATGACATGATATTTGGACACTATATTGTCGCTTGCTGGTGTTTGTTTCTTTTGTTATTTGACACTTTGATTTATGTGCGGGTTTTTCTCCAAGTTCTGGTTAACAATACTTGGGATTTTTCTTTTTTTCCACCTCTTTTTAAACACATGTTGTTATATTAGGGGGGATGGGGGGGGGGGCACTGACCTAAAAGAAGAGGGATTGATAAAATGAAAGAACTTCTATATCAGCACGGAAAGACAGTAGTCTTTGTTATCCACCAGGCACTGTATCGCAAACTATTCCTCCCCACAGCGCTTAACGGTAAAAGTGGAACGTGATTGCTGAAGATGATGATGGATGTTTTAACTAATGATGCTTCAGATAGAAGTAACATAACATTTTAATATTCTGACGACAACAACAATGCACACATTTTTCAGAGGACTGGCAAATAATGCATTAAACAACATCTCAGACAATGCTTTTTATGGGCTAACAAAGCTGAAATATCTGTAAGTATTTCTTTTTTTCATTCACTAGTCGAACATTGCCATAAGACAGTAGTTTTCTGGTAATCCGATAATCTTAGTTTAAGCTTCATAGCAAACGGGCCAATTGTCTCGTCTCCTTGTAAGTAGATAACGGCTGATTTTTCTAAAAATACAGAAAATCAGGCTACAAAAATGTATTGTAAAATTTACATAATTGAGCCAGCTTTGCTTAGCAGACAATATGTATATATCAACTTTAAAACAAGGTTTGCTAAAGGGTCGTTGTCATAGCTACAGTGTTTCTGATTTGTGCTACGCTCTTGGCAGGCGGCTAACCGTTCTGAGGAGGGAGAGAGAAAGCGACCGAGCCATATGGGAAAAAAATCCGGTGCTTTAAAGTTGATCCTCAACCTTTAACCTTTTACAACGTTTTCTTAAGCGGCGCTTAAGCCTATCAGCTTAATACCCCTCCCCCCTTTTAGCATTTTTTTAAAGAAAAAAAAGGCAGGAAAAGGTGGGGGGGGGGGGGTGGCCCCTGTACTGACAATTTGTGAGGGGCTAAGCTGCTCTCTTAATAGTGTATGAAATTTACCATTCAGCACGTTCCTATTGTTAACTTGGCACTTGCACAAAGGTTTAATTCTCTTGAGGCCCCCACCCATTTTCCAAATCAAACAAAAATGATAGGGGTGTCATTTCGTTTTTTACATCTCTCCGCCATCTTTTTTCAATCCTCCATCTTAAATTTGTTTTAAAGCATATTCATCATCAAGTGCCTTGCCGACTGGCTTGAGCGATCGCCTGTCCTCAACCTGCGATCTGCAGTTGCATGGATCGGTTCGTGTGTTGAGACCCCTCCATAGGATGACAAAAAAAAAGCTGTCAAGAATCTTCTCCTGTTGTCTTCCTCTATCTCCCTTTCCACAGATCTTTCCAGTAGTCATGGAACATGTTTCAATTTTCCTGTTTTCATAACATGACCAAAAATTGATGACTGTTTCTTTCTAATGTTTTTGATAGGTTGTCTTGGAACCCTCATCTCATTCAGAACATTGGGGCTACTATTTTTATCTACCCAAGGAATTCTGTAAAATCACATCTACGAGTTATCATCAACAACAACAACAACAGCAGCAGCAACAACAACAACAACAACAACAACAACAACAACAACAACAAAATTCTGCCCTTTTTTTTAATCGTCTAGGATTCACAGCCGTATGTTATAACTGGCTCTATATAGCAAGCAGTAATTCTTGTTCTAACCTTCAATTACAAGGTTTTTTTAGAACGTTCTTCAGTTAATAAAATGCAGTTTTGGTCTGTCCTGTAAAGCATATTACAATGCGTTATATATATATATATATATATATATATATATATATATATATATATATATATATATAACACACTTACACACACGCACAAACAATTAAAAAAAACACACACATAATCACAAGAATGCTCTTTTTTTAAAAAAAAAACCATTTAGTATCACTTCTGCTTGTACGAATGTTTTGTTTTTTAAAAATTGTGGTAATTGGGCAACGAACTTTGATGACAGAAGCCAAACGTACTGGACCGGATTCCATTCATGATGTAGAACAGATTGCACCGTGTAGAAAGGAATGAAGAAACAGCTTTCTTTCTTATCTACATTCAATCATTTGTGACACTCATAATCTTCCATGCTGTGATGTCAGACTGTCGTTCTCTGTTAGCATCTTTATGCCTCTTTTTATCTTCATCTTTCTTACCGTACTTCTTTTTTCTCCTTCTCATTTTATAGCTGAAGAATATAGATTGTCTCCTCCTGATGTGGGCAGTCAGCTTTCTTCATGAGTCAGGTGATATATATTGTCTCTTCCTGATGTGGGCAGTCAGCTTTCTTCATGAGTCAGGTGATATATATTGTCTCTTCCTGATGTGGGCAGTCAGCTTTCTTCATGAGTCAGGTTATATATATTGTCTCCTCCTGATGAGGGCAGTCAGCTTCCTTCATGAGTCAGGTGTCTCTCAAACATCTTCAGGGACTGCGTGGTCTTGAGGCCTGGTGTCCGCCCTGAGTGCTAGAGGTTCCGGGCTCAATCTAGTAATTCCCCCTGGTCTCTGGGTTGAAATCGGACGCCTATGTACATTGTTGCGCACGTAAAAAATCCCTTGGCAGTTGGAAATCGAAAAGAGTAGCCTAACGGCGCTGCCCGGGCAAAAATTAAAGTTTAAAATTTACTCAAAGTATTTCAGGATCCTCGCCGGTGCTACAGAGCCTGTGCACTGTGCTGAGCTTCTTCGGACTCAGACTCGAGCTAGAAAAAGAACGGAGCTCTTGTGGGTTTCACCCGTGTGCCATGATGTTGATCCATTGTTCAAAACCTCAAACATCTTATTGCGCATTTCAGGTGTTCAGTGTTTTCTCATAATTCGTCAATAAAGCTAACCACTATGTCACCGCATAATTTTAAACTTTTAATATTTAATCGAACACATTTATAATTTGAGATCTTGACATTTTCACCTCAGCAAACTCCAACAGAACCAACTTACAGCTGTTCCGTCTGCTTTCTCACATCTGGTTTCACTGGAAGAATTGTAAGTTTTTATAAATGCTAAATTATAGATAGTCATATGTTTCTACAATTTAACGGATCTAACTATTCAACACTAAATAAATAAATCCTGATATACCTATGTGAATTATGGACGGTTAAAATGGACGCTAGGCAGCGGCACTGTTCGAAGCAGAGGCGAATTCCTTGCTTCTGCCGGACGGTGGCCGATACATTTTTGTTCAATTTGTAAAGTGGATATAGTTTCGTCGCCCAGCTTCTGAGTTGAATGCATGGCGTGACACTGTGAGCTGAGGATTGCATTTGGAATGTTTTTTCGACTGTGACCAACGTGGTGGTGTGAATTGTAGATTCAGAAAATGACGCGATGTCTGTCGTGCAATGTTGGCGGTGCCCGTATGTGATTAAAATTGATCGCCTGGGCAACTGCTGATCTGTTTGCGACAAGTTCTGCTATCATCAATGATAAACTGCATTTCTAATGTTGGATTGTTTGTGTTAGCACTTCGGATGGCTACCGTATGCTTTAATGCGAGTGTATGCTAGAAATGCTGAGACAGCAATCTGTCATTCTTTCCACAAGAGACTGTGATAAACATTCTGTGTGTTTTTCGTTGGCACAGGAGCGGAGCTATGAAGCTGAAACTAAGACTACCAGACTACCAGAATGGACATCTGGCTGGCCATTTAGTGAAGAAAAATCAATGTGGAAGTGGCGTAGATGTGGTTTTATATACTAATGATGGGAACACCTGTAACATATTTTTAAAAACATAATGAAGATTCTTGAGTGAAATTACTTCACGAAGAGAACCTTCTTTGATCATGTCATGAGATGATTAAAACTGGAGTACATCATGACGGTGGGAAAGTTGTAAAGGAAAGGAGACCGAGAGAAAGGATGCTAAACGGTTTGGAATTAAGGACTGGAAGATCGTATTGGTAGAATTGATTGAAAGTACACGAGACACAAGGTAACCGATAGACATGGCTACTAACACCACATGGCATAGACTAAAAAGCATGTATTCAACCCCCACCTTCCGGTCTTAAGGTCTTAGGTTGAAGTCCGCACTGGGCTGACCGATCCTAAAAAATAGACCAGGTCAAGTTCTTCAAAGTAAATTATGCTTGTTGTTGACATCAGAAGCCGTCGCGGGCTGATTGACCTATGAAAATATTAGACTGGACTCATAGATCTGATGCGCCAACGGCGTGATATGCGTCCTTTATGGTTAAGGTACTTTGCAATTAATGCAACGCTTTATTGTTATTTGGTTAAAGCGCCTAGTCGAACAGTTCGAAAATTGTGCTCTCATTTGGTAGACTGGTTTTCGAATCTTCGGTAAGGACATTTGAAACGAAGACCATCGAGTGGACAAGCACGAGTCTAGCCACTGAGCTACTGTGCCTCCACGGACCCTATATAAGTCTCTCGTCTGTCTGTCTGTCTGTCTGTCTGTCTGTCTGTCTGTCTGTCTGTCTGTCTGTCTGTCTGTCTGTCTGTCTGTCTGTCTGTCTGTCTGTCTGTCTGTCTGTCTGTCTGTCTGTCTGTCTGTCTGGTCAGTCTGGTCAGTCAGTCTGTCTGTCTGTCTGTCTGGTCAGTCTGTCTGTCTGTCTGTCTGTCTGTCTGTCTGTCTGTCTGTCTGGTCTGTCTGTCTGTCTGTCTGTCTGTCTGTCTGTCTGTCTGGTCAGTCTGGTCAGTCTGTCTGTCTGTCTGTCTGTCTGTCTGTCTGTCTGTCTGTCTGTCTGTCTGGTCTGTCTGTCTGTCTGTCTGTCTGTCTGTCTGTCTGTCTGTCTGTCTGTCTGTCTGTCTGTCTGTCTGTCTGTCTGTCTGTCTGTCTGTCTGTCTGTCTGTCTGTCTTTCTGTCTTTCTTTCTTTCTTTCTTTCTTTCTTTCTTTCTTTCTTTCTTTCTTTCTTTCTTTCTTTCTTTCTTTCTTTTTTCTTTCTTTCTTTCTTTCTTTCTTTCTTTCTTTCTTTCTTTCTTTCTTTCTTTCTTTCTTTCTTTCTTTCTTTCTTTCTTTCTTTCTTTCTTTCTTTCTTTCTTTCTTTCTTTCTTTCTTTCTTTCTTTCTTTCTTTCTTTCTTTCTTTCCTTGTCTTTGTCTTCCCCTGTATTCCCCAGTAGAGCATAACCCCACCACCAACTCATGCCAATTTGTTCTATGTCCTCCCCATCTTTTCCCTTTCCCTCTAATTCCCGTGTCAATATATTCTTGGTCTGTCTTGTTCTGAAGACGCTGTGGGTTCCAGTGTAAGGACTTTCTAGTTAAAATGTTGTTAGGTTTTCCCAGGGTGTATTCTAATCACCGCAATATGTTTAGTTTTTCTCCCAAAGCTCCACGTTTGTGACTGTGTCATGACATTTAATTGTTTTTATTGCCCGGCTCGTTAGCGTAGTGACAAACTCGTTCACGCCCGGAGTAGGCAAAAAAGGCACATCCCTCCCAGATTTACGGTATTTATCATGGAATCAAGGCCGAAGGGTTGCGATAGTACCGAGCCAAAGGGTTAACAACTCATGGTTTCTGGATACTTAAAATTAGCTTTTGCCCACATATCAGGGAACAAATGTTTCTAGAT